CCACAATTATTGGCACCCCTGTTTAAGATGTGGTCGAGGACTTCTAAAAATTCTCCTTTTTAAAAAAAAAAAACATATAACCCAAATGCAAAAAAAAGAGAAAAATCCAACCTTTTATTTAAGTACATTACTTTGGTGGTAAAAAAAAAAATCACACATTTAGAAAAAAAAAACCCTTGAAATCATGTGTCCCACAATTATTGGCACCCCTGATGTTAATACTTTGTACAACCCCCTTTTGCCAACAAGACAGCACTTAAAGGATTAGTTCACTTTTTAAAAAACTTTTGCTGATAATTTACTCACCCCCATGTCATCCAAGATGTCCATGTCTTTCTTTCTTCAGTCGAAAAGAAATTAATGTTTTTGATGAAAACATTCCAGGATTTTTCTCCATATAATGGACTTCAATGGTAGCCAAACGGTTCAAGGTCTAAATGACCGTTTCAGTGCAGCTTCAAAGGGCTTTAAACGATACCAGACGATGAATAAGGGTCTTATCTAGCGAAACGATCGGTCATTTCAAAAATAAATAAAAAAGTTTAAGTTTTATAGGCACAAATGCTCGCCTTGCGAACTCTCCTGTTCGAACTCGTTCATCAAAATGAACGAATCTTTTTTTGAGTCATTGACTCGTTCATCAAAATGAACGAATCTTTTTTCGAGTCATTGACTCGAAAAAAGATTTGTTCATTTTGATGAACGAGTTCGAACAGGAGAGTTTTTATTTAAAATGTCCTGGTATTTCAAAGCGTTCATAATGCCATGCACCCTAACAAGGTTCCCAGGGCCTTTGGAAGAGAAACAGGCCCACAGCATCACAGATCCTTCACCATACTTCACGGTGGGCATGAGGTGCTTTTCGGCATACTCATCTTTTGTTTTACGCCAGACCCACTTAGAGTGTTTGTTGCCAAAAAGCTCAATCTTAGTCTCATCTGACCAAAGCACACGATCCCAGTTGAAGTCCCAGTGCCGCTTAGCAAACTCCAGACGTTTACGTTTGTGAGTGTTAGTGAGAAAAGGCTTTTTCCTTGCATGCCTCCCAAACAGCTTGTTGGCATGTAGAGAGCGTCTGATGGTTGTTTTGGAGACTTTGTGACCCCAAGATGCCACTCTTTGATGCAATTCTGTGACAGTGAGCTTAGGACTTTTTTTTACTTCTCTTACCATCCTCCTCACTGTGCGTTGTGGCTAAACTTTGATAAACTTTGGACCTCTTCCAGCCTTGTTTGTCACTGTTCCAGTTGTTTTAAACTTCTTAATGATTCCTCTGACTGTAGATACGGGCAAGTTAAGGCGAGTGGCTATTTTCTTGTAGCCATTGCCTGACTTATGAAGGTCGACACACATCTGCCTTACTTGAATGTTGTGTTCTCTTGTCTTTGCCATGTTGACAAATGGGTAAGAGAATTAGACCTCTGTGTCACGTCATATTTATACCCCAGGGAAACAGGAAGTCATGAATTACTAATTAAAAGTTCCTAGATACCCTGACCAACTTTAGCAACTACAGAAAAATATATAAAAAAAAAAATCAATTAAATTTTTCAGCGTAATCGTTAGGGGTGCCAATAATTGTGGGACACATGATTTCAAGGTTTTTTTTTTTCTAAATGTGTGATTTTTTTTTTTTTTTTTTTACCACCAAAGTAATGTACTTAAAAGGTTGGATTTTTCTCTTTTTTTGCATTTGGGTTATGTTGTTTAAAAAAAAGGAGAATTTTTAGAAGTCCTCGACCACATCTTAAACAGGGGTGCCAATAATTGTGGAGGGCACTGTATATATATATATATATATATATATATATATATTAATATACAAACTAATATATACAGTAGTCAAGTGAATCAAAACCATATGCATGTGTGTGTATGTATAGATATAATGCCTGCTGCTTCCTATGCATGTTGTGTTGTTACTCTAGGAGGTCACGTTGAGTAACAACACAATATAAATAGGAAGCATCATAGTGTTGAAGCAGCAGCAGTGTTTTTAGTTAAATATGCACAATGTATTGAATATAATCTGCTACAGGCAGATACCTTAAAAACAGTCACCACATAAGATAATTAATACATATGTATGTATATATCTGAGTGTAATTAAATATAAGTAAGAGGGTGGAAATTCATGGCATGGTATAAACAAGGGGTCAGAGATGGTTGGGGGGTTTAAAACCTGCACCATTTTGGGAACAAGGGTTGCCTTCATCCTTTGTGTCCTACAGCCTGTACAGCAAAGGAGTGTGAAGACACTTTCAATAAAGGAATAGTAGAACATATTGAGAATGTTCTTACTAACCCCACAGGAATTGAGCTTCCTTAAGAGGTACTGCCGCTGTTGGTATTTCCTAAGTATCTCATCTGTGTTGGAAGTACATTTCAGCAGATTGTTGAAAATTGTGCCCAGGTACTTGTACTCCTCAGCAATCTCTATGGGCTTTCCGTGAATGGCAGTAGTGACTGCCATAGCCATCTGCATCTGCTTATTTGTACCATATCTTTAGTCTTGTTCACGTTTAGTTCTGAACAAGGAGTTGTCACACCACTCAACATATTTCTGGAGATGCTGTGAAGGCCCTGAGAGTAGAAACAGAAAGATTGTGTCATCAGCAAACTTGATTAGATGATAGTTGGATTCAGTGGACCTGCAATCATCAGTATACAAAATGAAGAGCAGAACACAGCCTTGTGGAGAACCAGTTAAAGTATATAGGAGGTCAGAAAGAACACTCTCAGAGACCTATTGGTTAGAAAGTCAATTATCCAAAAAATCAGCTGGTTCTCCAAATGAAAATGAGTTTTTCAGCAACAATATGTGGCTGTAGGGTATCAAATATCAGAAGAAAAATAGTCTAGCTGTGCGGTTAGACTTGAGATGCTCATGAACAATGTCTGTGATAAACGGTTATAAATGCTTCATCGACCCCTTTGCCTGTGCGATATGCAAACTGAAGTGGGGCAACTGTGATTAAATTACATTTATTTGTATTCACTTGCATTATATTTTTGTATTTATTACATATTTTTATTTAAAGCTGCCGTCGGCAACATTTTTTTGATCATATTCAGTGAATTCGACACTATAATCCGACAGAACAACATAAATAAAGTGGTTTTAGAAAAAAACCCGAGCTTCTAACTCCACCTGGAGCGTGTTATTTGTTTTGCAAAAATCCACAGCTCCCGGATCATCATGTCCAATCAGCGCAGGGGGGTGTGAGATCTGACTGTCAATCACAGATCGGGCACACGCCACCCCTCGCGCACGTTACAATCACATGCACACGCCTGAAGTTCGTGCAGTAATGAAGAGTGATGGCGGATGTATCTCACTTTCAAAACACTAACAAATCAAGTAAGCTCATTTAGAGTATAAATGACGTTAGCAATTGCAATCTATCGGTAGATTAGCCAGGACAGCATACCTCCAAATACTCCATGGTGATGATGGATGCTGATGAGACGGGCGCGTTCACAGATAACCTGGTGCACACGCACTGACGAGCACGAACTCGGTGGGAGGGTATCCGTTGATAGCGGGGGAGGGGCATGAGAGTTGTAAACATTCAAAATTTTGCCTAAGGCCCCATCCACACTACTGCGTTTTAGTTTAGAAACGGATAATTAAAACGAGTACGATCTCCGTCCACACCAGCGTTTTAGCTGCGTATTAGAATTGATCTCCGTCCACATTAAAACGACTGAAAACGCGGATCACGTGACCATTCACCAACACTGGGCATGCGCGTGCCGGTGTAAACACAACTTCATTGATAAAATTATCCCACCATGCTCTGGGTTAACCCCAAACCGACGCTCCATGTACGGTCAACGCCGCCGCTGCACACGGGAATTGTCACAGATCGCTCGAATAATAGCTTGACTCCGGCGCATGTAGGCAGTTATAGCGTTGTAAAATGCAGAATTTACTTGTACAACAGCTGCTAGCAAAGATATACGCCATGACTGATGACACCCAATCATAGAGCCGAGCGTGAGCCTCTACTACGTCATCGTTTCTAAAGTCCTCCGTTTTGACCCGTCTACACCAAAACGCCCTCCGGAGATTCAAAACGAAAAACGGATCGGCAGCGTTTCTAAACTTCTCCGTTTTGGGTCTCCGTTTTTGCCGTTTTAGTGTGGACGGGAGGTGCAAACGTAGCAAAAGGTCTCCGTTTTTAAAGAAAACGCAGTAGTGTGGACGGGGCCTAAGGGCCCACTACTGATTACGTTTATTTAATTGATTTAAATTATTGTTACTTTTAAATATATTTAATTCTTTGTTGGCATTCATATCACCATCTAATTAACAAACCAAGGTTTTGCAGCTGCTTTTACACAAGAAAAGTTTAGTTTTTGCAGCGATGTAATTTTCCATGAAAATGAAAATTGTCCTTTCGTTCCAAACACCATTGATTCTCACCTGTCTCATAACCGAATGTGATGCACCAAGTTTGAATAGGTGGAAATCCGAATGACATTGGTAGCCACAATGGAGGGCAGTTCTCATATTTTTGAGTGAACTTAGCGTGACCTTTTAAAGTCACTCAATCACACGGCAGATTAAATGGAAGATATCCAATCAATAAAAAGCCCCCAGAGGTGAATCCAGTAATAAATGGCGTCTGACTTTGTGCTGTGTTAAACAAGCTGCTTGCACAGTTCCTAACAACAGATTACAGGCTTGAGCAGCGTGAGGAACATGTTTACCAGCGCTGCACCCTCACACTTCCACCAATGCACTCTTGTACATTGTGTTCTGTGTTTTCTGACTTTTTGCTTAAAAAAAAAAAGCCTTACATTCAAAAAGAAACTGTCTTTTTTTTCCAATTAGTTGTTGTTAGTGACCTCTTTTTCTCATAGAACATGTTGGTTCGTATTGTTATCTGAAGATGTGCAGGAGTGAAATGCCTTTGTTGTTCTATCATTGTTATTTTAAACATGACTCAGTTTGAGGCACCATGTGGTTAAAGCCCCACTTTTTGTAATTCCAGACTACCATGATGCAGTGCTGCGGTTTAATACAGCTCCTACCAAGGGTTATGAAAGAGACGTTGGGAATAAAACCACCGTACGCATCATCAACTCTCAGGTGAGCAACGTTTGATGTTTTCAGCACGCATTAGTAGTAATGCAACTTTCAGTGAATCAGCCAGATAATTGAAGCAGGTCCTATTCGAACACCCTCTGGATCGTCCTCAGGCTGTTTTGTTTTCAGCTATAGATCTGAGTCATCATGTCCTAGTGGACACATGCTTACCGGGTAAACAACGTGAAACCACGCTGCCAGAGAAGTTGTCAAATGTGCTGGATCCTTTTGTCACTTTTCATGAATGAACAGATCAATGGGAATTCGATGGGAGCTGCAAAGTAGTGTTTTAAAAGTTAACTCGCTGGCTCGACCGTGTGCCATTTGTCTCCCACAGAACAAAGTCTTCAAATCAGCTCCTTTTCAAACCTGTATGACTGACTGTTACCATGAGCTGTCAGGCTCTGAAAGGAACAAAAAGAAATGCCCAAAAAAGGCTTTATCAAAGTGGTTTAAATGATTCACGCGCTATATTGCAAGTCCTCTGAAGTCATGCAACAGCTTTGGTAAGGAACAGGCTTGAATTTAGGGCATTATTTTTGTAATAATCTTCCCCTCCACCATAGTTATCAAATATTCACATATCTGCATATTGAAAATGTACAGTAAACTACCGTTCAAAAGTTTGGGGTTGTTATTTTTTTTTTTACGTTTTGAAAGAAGTCTCTTATGCTCACCAAGGGTGCATTTATTTGATCTAAAATACATTAAAACAGCAATATTGTAACATTTCACAAAGTAAAATTCAATTTTTTATAACTTTCTTATAAATGTTGAAAAGAGGTGATGCTTTTTTTAGGATTCTTTGAGAATTCATTAGAATTTTTTTTGTAACATTATAAATGTATTTCCTGTCACTTTTGATTAATTTAATGCATACTTGTTGGAGAAAATCATTAACTTCTTTTAAAGAAAAAAAAAATGTAACATGATTTTGTAACTGTATATTAAACATCAAATATGTTTTGACTAACTGTTTTTTTTTTTGTGCAGCATGTTTACCTTCAATGCGGACTGATGAATTTCTCTTCGCTAGAAACTTATAACATTACACATGGTTAAGTTAAAGTCAGTGATGCTCTTGTGTTTTCTGACTAATCAAGTTAGTTGGGCCTCAATTTTGTGTCTCTTCCTTCTTTTGTTTGTCTTTTTGTGTAACGTATTGTCTGTTGTGCTTGCAGATTCTGGCGAATCCCAAGCACCAGTTTAACACAAGCTCATTGTACAAGAATGTAACGCTGGTGGCGTGGGATCCTGCTCCATACACCCTCAACCTGCACAAAGTGAGTACTGACTACCCAAAAAACACATTAAACACACCTAGAACAGAAGTTTCCTATAAAGCTATTTTGTTCATTAGTCATCAACAAGAATTGAAAGAGAACCTTTTATGCTTTTTTTCACAATTTTTATTTGTTTGATGTTATGATAAAAATCTGCAAAGTTCCAAAGCACAAAGTCAATCCAAAGGCATATTCTTTATATCAGTAATCAAGGTTTCTGAACTCAAACGCCTCGATTGTAGTCTTGATTTTTCTTCTGTGAATGTACACGTCACAATAATCCTCATTTAAATAATTCCCGCCCAAGGTATTCGCAAAATAAATGGGTCGAGGCCTGGTTGAATTGCGTTAGTAGTGTGTTAACTTGTGGTTATGGTAATGGCATTACCTTGACATTTCTGAAGAGGTTGACCAATAACCATACACTGGTCCAGCTGACCAATCAGAGCACATTGCACTTTTTGGGAAGAGGGGCTTTATAGAGACATGAACTAAACAGAGCGTACAGACTCGGAAGAAAGGTTCTGCATTAATGTAAAATAGTTGAAATCCAAATTATTCAACCCCCCAGAGAGTGTAATCATTTACAGATGTATGCTTTTCTAAAGATAGTTTTTCTTTATTCCATCTAAAACAGTTTGCTGGCAAATTAAGTGATAATGTCAATATATAATGTAATGCTTTTGAGTTATAGGATTTGTGTCCTATTTTGTCCTAGTGTCATAATAATTCAACTCCTATTAAACGCTGCTGTTTTCAAGTCTTGTTTGTATGGTATGGTACAACATTGTGTTAAAACACAATTAAGCCTTTGGAAGCTCTATAACAAAACTGAATTAGCTTGTGCTGTTACACATACATACGTACATTTAGCCCATGCATGTGCTAAAGTTGAGAAGCAAATATGGCCAAATCAAAAGAGCTCTCACAAAAGCTATAGGGAACATATTGTTTTATTACATAAGAGAGTCTATGGCTACAAGATTTCCAAAACACTGAAAGTTGTTAGAGACACAGCTGGCAGCCTTGTTCATAAGTTTAACATCTGCTGTGCCAGAAAAACTTTGAGGGTGTTGAAGCAGGTTATTGAAGCAGACACAAAGCTTGAAGCTTTTTGTTGAAGCAAAAAGACAAATATAAAGCGTAATATAAAAGATAAAGCAGAAGAATAGCATCTCCATGGTCAACCATGGAGGTGGTTCAGTCTTGTTATGTGGATGCTTTGCTGTTGCAGGGAGTGGAAGTCTGTATGAAGGACAGCATTAATTATTCAAAGTATCAAGCCATTTTGGCAAAGAGGATGATGCCATTTTGGCAAAGAGGATGATGCCTTTGTTGCAGAGACTGAAGCTTGACTTTCCTGCCATCCAAAAGTATACATCCAAATATACTTTATCTGGGTTCAGGGATCAGTCATAGAATCTTCTTGAGTGGCTTGTACAGTCTTCATATTTAAATCTCATTGAACATATTTGGTGGAATTTGAAGAAAGCAGTGGTAACATGGAAATTTGATCTGGAAACTTTTTCCAAGCAAGGAATTGGCCAAGATTGAAGTAGAGAGGTGACCGAAGCTTCTAAGCACTTACAGGCAGCGTTTATTGGAGGTAATAAGAATAAAATATTCTGCAAGAAATATGACTTTTGGGTGTTGAATAATTTAATTCGATTTTTTCATTTTTTTTTTATTTTTTTTTTTAACTTTACGTTCTCAGAATCACTCAAATAATAGGCAGCAAAATGTCTTGCAGGTCAAGGGGGTGGAATAATTTTGATTGCAACTGTATGTGAAAAAATGTGTTTCTTGAACATTCAAGTATATATGAAAACCTATTCTAGTAGGACCCAAAAACAAAATCAAGAATTTGTAAAAGGGCATAATATGGCCTCTAACATTTAAGATCATTTTGACGTCTTCAAACCCTTTAAACGCAATCACATCTCTAGAATTGCATACTTTTTCTTTGGTATTTCTCCCCACACGTGTCCAGAGAGCAGGTGATATGGTACTTTTGCAATTCAGATAAGCGCAGGCACCATGCTGGAAGGTTATTCTGATTTGTCTGGTCGGAGCTCTTCTGCTCACACACCGCTGTGAACCATAAACCACGATACCGGGGAAAAAAAGATCAGAGCGGATTACTATAAATGCTTCCAATCTGTCCTTTGTGCCCATACCTCACTGGAACTGCCTTATGCCATTTCTGATGTTCACAATCCCATCCATCTCGTTGTTGTCTACATGAAATGAGGCATTATGGGATACATACAGAATAGATGGTCATCTCTATGCTGCTTTGCCTTGACTGACTCCCACAGAGTAACAGCTCGTCCCTGACACGTGTGCCATCTGATGACCCCATGATTTCTTGACGGGACATGGAAATTGGACCATTTTCACAGCAAGTCTTTAGAAAAAGAAGAAAAAAATATCTGACCCCATGGACAACCTGAGAGCCAATAAGATTGCAGGGCTTCCAATTAACCCTTTCAAAAAAAGCAGTTTTTGCTGTCTCTAAAATGAAGGAAGTGGATCGTAAGATCAAAAAGTAAAGCCGCCTCTCCACTGCAAACGACATTTGGACACGACTGTCAGAATTCGCTCGTAATGAACTTTCATTATGATCTTGCGTGGTAACATGGGTAAACTGACGCTTTCTCTGAAATCTTTCCTGTTAAGGAGCATTTGAGCTAGGTACTGTTTTGCACACATTGGGTCTCATTCATGAAACACGAGCAGAACGAATTTTTGTGTAAATCGTGTGTAAAGTGGTTCTGGCGTAAATTTTCGGATTCATTAAAATGTTCGTATTTTCCAAATGTTAGTTGGTACGAAAGAAATCTACACCTGCTCCCAGCCACGCGTAAATAGTGAGTTTAACATCCGAACGTTTTGCTCATTAATAACTAAGGCTGCATTTTAATTCACCTTAATCGGGTACATATTTACACAGCATTTTGAAAAAATATTATATATAGTAATTACATACGTTTTTTCTTTTCTGGGACTGTTTGATTAACACATGAAACTCCATTAACTGCATCTGTAATATGCTGCCAAACGTACTTTTTTTAGGACCTGATACGCCACTATGTAGCCTATGCTTTGAATGAACTTCTGATAATAAAACTTCGATTTCTGCATCTGAGAAATTTTTCTTTTTCATTCGCTTTTGAGAAGACGTTGAAATCCTTCGTTTGGTGTCATAATATGATGCCCATATATAGTTGTCAGTCGGATATATGGGCGGGATTTATGGTAATTGAGAATGAGCGTGCACGCGCGTCCCATTTACGATTGATTGGAATTCATTAACACACACACACATTTCACTATCACATCTGACGTTTACGAAGTATTTGTGAATCAGGAGATGAGTTTTCGGAAAGGTCTCTACGCGCAAATCACTCTCATATTTACTCGTATATTTACGAATGTTTCATGAATGTACGGAGCCCCCCTAGTCCCACTTTGTCAAAAAAATGTATTATAACTATCTTGTGGCCTCAAGATAAGTAACTCGTGGCCTCAAGATAGTATCTCGTGGCCTCAAGGTAGTAACTCGTGGCCTCAAGATAGAGATAGTATCTTGAGGCCACGAGTTACTTATCTTGAGGCCACGAGATAGTTATAATAATTTTTTTTGACAAAGTGGGACTAGGGGCGCTCTGTATGAATGAGACCCATTGACTTGCAATATTTATTTGAGTGTCTCCAGTAAAGGAAAATCAAAAGCAAGAGCCTTGGTCTTCTGAACTCTCACCATGGTGGAATGAATAAATGAATGCAAACAATAAACAGCTATGTATAAGACAAATAATAACCGCCAATAATACGGTGCCAGACATTGAAAAATATAAATATTAAATTGATTACTTTTAAAAACTTTTAACAATGCATGGTTTTGATATGTATCAGGTGTTTCTGATAAAGTTAAACAATAAGTATTAATAATTCTCACACCGATCTGATTGAGATTCAGTGGAATACATCACATCCAGTCAGTGTCACATATGGTGTAGTCGCTCAAGTTCAAATTTAAAGCATCCAAAGCTCAAATCGGATACGAAAATTCCGCTTTCGCAGATTGCCAGCACCCCCTGTGAGACTCTCCATAACAAATAAATTACTTCTGGTTCATCGGCTGTCGTTTGTCGCGTGCAGTGGAAAGGCGGCTTAAGTCTCTGTAGAGCTGAAGGGTCAGCGGTTAATTCTGTACAGTCGATCTCTCTCTATCTCTCTCTCTCTCTATCTCTCTCTCTCTCTCTCTCTCTCTCTCTCTCTCTCTCTCTCTCTCTCTCTCTCTCTCTCTCTCTCTCTCTCTCTCTCTCTCTCTCTCTCTCTTCAATTCAATTCAAAATTGCTTTATTGGCATGACTGTACACAATACAATATTGCCAAAGCTTGGAATGCATAAAGACATTAAAATAATAAAATATTATAATATGACTTAAATCTAAATGTACAAATTAAATTAATTGTACAAATTAACAGTGTACCAAATAAAAATAAATACATAAATAATAATAATAATAATTAGAACAGTTTATGAACATTTCAAAAATTCTCTGAACAATTTAGAATTCAGTGTGTAAGTGTGTGTGTGTGTGTGTGGGCGCATCACTGATTAGTCGTCGACTCTCTCTTTTTGTGACAAGCATCAATGTATCTGGCTGCTAATATGATACAATCTGTTTTTTCACCTAATAGGTGTTGAAATTGTGTTTTGTTGTCTAATTGTAGGAAGTTAGGGCAAAGTATTTCAAATTTTGTATAGAAAGTCCCTCTAATGTCATAGTTGGGGCAGCGGGTGAGGAAGTGTTGCTCGGTCTCCACTTCTCCCTGCTCACAGTACGGGCAGACGCGTCTCTCTCTGGGCCGCCAGTTCTGTCGGTGTCGGCCCGTCTCTACAGTCAGAGTGTGATTGCTCAGTCTGTACCTCGTCATCCTTCTTCTTAGTTTACAGTCTTTCACTGTACTCAGGTATTCTGCCGTGGTGT